TATGGGAGAATCTTGACCTCGGTCGTGTGTACAGACCTCACTGCGTTCGGTCTGTACTCACGACCTCGGTCAAGATTCTCCCATACAGACCTCCAGTTCGGTTAATAAGAGCTAAGTAATATTTTTATTCAGAATTTTTACAGTTGGTGTGATATCTCACGATTTTTACCGACTTGACTAAGTGTAGATGTAGACTGGAGGACTAGAGGATACCACAACTTGAAAGTTAATTGATTAGCAACAAGAGTGGTTGTCCAATTACGTCCTAATTCATTGGCCATACTGGAAGGATGGCTTTGGAATTTTCATCACTTACTTCGTCCGACCTCATTCGGTAAATTTCTTACCATTTTTAGCAATCTCCTGCAGCGCCATCAACAAGCCATCTTTCATTGGGGTGGTTCCATTGGCCTTTAGTCCAGCTGCAAAATAGAAGAGGGTGGAACCCTAGCTATTCAAACTGGACATTTTTGGTCTTCTTAGAGCCGGGGGAGGGGTGGGGGACTGGGGAGGGGGTCTATTGATGTAATTCGTAGAGTATTAAGCTATGGCAAAGGCATTTAAGGACGGTGCCTACTTTTGTTAATGCGCACATGTTCTGCGCATCACGCAAAACATAGTTTAAGCGCGCGCGCGCACTAGGGTCGACATTGACGCAATCATCTACGCTGCCAAGTACACGACTAAAATGAAAGTAAAATTTTCCTTCTCTGACCAAATCAAGTTTAATGAACCTGTACTTAAACCACGAACACCAGAATAGAAGCATATTGCTAACCACTAACTGTTAACGTCTTCCAGCTGAAAACTAGCTGTCATCTGTCGAAAATTATACTGAAATCCAACTGTGCACATGTACCTGCTGATGGCGTAGTGCGCGCGCAAACCCAGTGCGAGATACGCAAATGTTTTACTTACTGGGGAGGTGACAGGAAAATAATGTAGCGGGCGCCGTAAAAGTTAAAAAAAAAAAAAGATCAATAACTTCGAAAAACGCGTGGTTACCCCTATATTTTATGCTATAAAATGGAAGTGGCAAGTCTATTCAATAAGTGACTAGTTTCTGGTGGTGAGCAAAAGGTATCTAGACTGTATTTTAGCTGAACCGGAGGAAGGCTGTCAGACATGCTAAAAGCGCTGTTGCAACGATTTTGTTATTGAAAACATACCAAAAATGGTTTTCATGTTACCATTCACCATGCAGTTTTAAGATGGTTATAAATGTGTTTGCTTTTCTGTATGTAAAGGCGAATTCTAAGGAAATCTGTGAAGAAATATCCTTTCCTTCTTTTCTCAGAAAAATGCTGATGTCAGCATTTTTGTTGAGATTCAAGGCTAATTATCTCAAAAAAAATGCGCGGCTACCCCAATTTTTCTTTGTGGATTCCAATAGCCCTTGCAAAGATCTACTTTTTCCGCGTGGTTCTAGCCTGGCGCAAAAACCTTTGCATTTAGTAGGCACCGTCCTTAAGGATTATAGCACGTCTAAAGTGTCTCCACAGAAGCGTGTAATTTTATGTTAATGATTATATGAACGTTACAGGAACCCATGAACGTTAGAAAACCACGAAAACTGACTCAAATATAGTCATGAATAAGGAAGGAAGCTACAAAACATCTTTAATAATAGTATATTATAAAAGAGAAAACTGCAAGGAAGTTAATATTGAAAACACGAAATTCGAAATTTAAAGAATATGCCTTGTCGAAATACGGTTGCTATGGAAACAATAAGATCTTTAACCAATGACATTTCACACGAAATTGTTCCCAGATAAATTTTAGGAAACGTTACCAAATTTGGAAATCATTGCTGTGTTCAATGCTTTAGGAGCTACAACAGTGTTTTAATTTCGGATGAGGGTCTAACAGGCCCCTCCCTCTTCATTTTTCGGTCTGACTAGGGTTAATGACGATGTCTGTGTTACGATCATTACATTTGTGCGCATGAAAGTAGTATGTCTGGATAGAATACAGCTGTGTATTGACAACTTACCTATTTTCATTTTAAGGCTAAAGTAGTTCGTTGACAAGTTGTGCAAAATCTGTGTTTTGGCTCCAAACTCAACGATTGCAACGTTTTCCTATGTGGAAACGTAACGGATTAAAATTACATGGCAACATTAGCTGTAGAGGTCACTATAGATGGATGGGTAGGTGGGGGGGGGGGGGCAGACGGAGTGGGGATTGTGACTAGTCAGACAGTGAATAGTTTGTACAATGTTGAGACAAAATTAGAACTTTACGCAAGTGTAATTCCTTGTATATTTTACTTATTTTATTCGTATTTTTTTTTTTATTCTAAAGATATCTCGACCCACAGTCTTATGTAAAAAATTCCAACCTCCACCTTGCGGAAGTGAAATTTAGTGTTTTCAGACGGCTCAAATCCGGAGAAGAAACAAACAAATGCATGTTTTTGTTTTGTTTTGTTTGTTTTGTTTCTTTGTTTGTCTGTTTTATTTGTCTTATTTTTTTTTTCCAGATCACGATCTCGTGTAGAAAATATGAAGCAAATAGCAATATAAATCTGTCATATGCGCTTTAAAAGTGCAAAAGAGATCTGCCGATTTTCACACTTAAGTCTACATGATCACTCGTTATCGAATATTTAATTGTCAACAAATGCAACTGTCTCAATTCAATGTTTGTTTTGTTACATACGTCGAATAAGAAAATTGAAGAATGACCGTATGGTGGTCAGGTGATCAAGAGCCAGCTTTTATGATGTAATAATATTTAATCATTTAATCTATCAGTTACACATTTTCAAGTAAAGGCGGAGGAAACCATTATCTAAGAAACTGAAAAAGGTCAAAAGATCGATGCCATCAATGTTTTCGTAAAAGTATCATGTTCTTGTTAGTTCTCAGAATTACTCAATAAAACATTATAAGTTAACTTCTCGGAATGAAAGTGCAATTGAGCATGCTCGGTTTATCGCGTAGACCTCCATAGGTGTCCTTAGCTCCTTAAAAAATTGTAATCGTGTTGTTTTAAACCTAATCACAACAAACTATATGATGTTGAGCTTACAAACTTTACTATCCGCTAAAAATTGTTTAATGTATTTGAATTCAAAGCTTTGTCACTGAAGTAAACTAAAGATCCCGGTAACCCGACAGGACCGACGGGGTGTCAAATGGAAATTCAACCGTACAAACAAAACTGTTGTACGAAGTATTATTTTGTTCGTATAAAACGTTCTTCTTCAAAACCGTCCCAGCTTAATCGATATTATTGCTCGCTCAGCAGATTTCTCTGTCAGATGAAGTTCTGTAGGATTAAAGCATCAAACATGATTCGCACTTTCCCAATCCTACCTTTAAGTTGGCCTGTCGTGCAGTCTCCTCCACTCCTTCCAAGAATTTGCGGGCCGCAGCTTTAAGCTGGTTGATGCCCTCATTGTGATTAAAGCCCATGGAAGCCGAGGTATCGAGGCACAAAACTGTGTCTAAAGGCATCTTGTAGTTTGCCGGAACTCGGTTTATTGCTAAGGAAAAGAGTGGAATACCAGCATTGCACGAATGTCTGCAGACCTTCGTTATTAATTTCAAATTGCTTTAAAGAGCGAACAGAGGTAGCACTGACCCCGCAGCACTGAGTTCAAAACAGATTTATATCTACTATCACTCTGCATTTATATCTCCATGTGAAAACCCACATTTACTATCCTTGGTTCCTGTCGACAACATTTAACATCTTTGAATCTTCGAAAAGTCAAGCTAGCGACTCTAGTGAACAATCGTGCCAGCTAGTATACTGCGACAAGCGAATGTGGGTGTCTGAACACATAACATGACAACTACGGATTGAGTCATTTATGCCTTGAAACTATTAAACTCGATCTTTTAATGAAAGGCACTCAAGCTAGAGTGATGTTACTTTGAGCAAACTTACGATACCACTATCGAGCTGTCACTGCGTATCAATCACTCCCTCACTGCTGCTGAATGAAGTAAACAACTCAACAACACTTTCTGGGAAACTCCTGTTGCGTTGCACGCTCCGATTAAGTTAATTTCGGCTTGATCAGCCGTTACTTAAAAGTA